TTGGTCCATGGGGCGCTGGAGACATGTCAGCAAAAGAATCCGGATTTCTACTTCCTGTTTCAATCCCTTGTTGAATGTAACCCATTTAGACGGCAGTCCTGCCCTCCTCTGTTTGGGAAGGGTTCGGGACCGCTTCAATCGCAAGATGTTGCGCAGGGTGTGTTCTACAGAGTATGTTTTGTATATAGTCATCTAGTCTAGTCCAACCATTATGAACTTGAACGACATGGGAATTGCCAGCAGCCCTAAGGAGATCTGGATTGGCCGCTGTCCGAAGCCATTGTGGAGGAGGCCCAGAAAATGAAGAGGTTTGTCAAAACCAAGAGCTCCGAGTGGATCAGCAGATGTGGTCAGCAGGTGTCGAGCCAAGTAGAATTTGGAGCCAGCAGGGATGACGTTTCCTTTTGCATGCGGCTTGGCGGCTGCTTCAATGCATGTTCCCCAGATCAGCAGAACTCCATATTGTCCGGATTGCAACATTGCAGAAATGTTGTAAGAATGATCCAAAGGAATGGAGGGCGGGCAGGTAAGGCTCCACTTTTGATCCTGGCCAAATCACACTTCTTGCCTGAGCCCGATTCACCTCCTCAATTCTTTCTCATCGTGAATCCGATGTTTAGACCCTTTGATATGAATTTGTGGCGTTGCAGCATTGTGAAGCAAGAAGATTCTTTGTGTCCGGAAGCAAACTGCCCAAAAGATTTTGTCCTGGAATTGAAATGGGTTAGAGTGACTGACCCCAGTGGTCCATGCGATGGTGGTCGCCCAGACCTTCTGAGTATGCACAACTTGGTATATTCTTTCAGGGGCAGCGATTTGTGCAAGGCATGGTCCACCAAGCTCTTATGGGACTACGAGGTGGCAGACTCCGCTTTGAAGTTGCTTCGTGTCAGAGGGCTTGATTTCAGCGATGCAGGGCTCAATTTTGCTGCTCAGTTGCATGAAACCTGCCTTGAAGATGAGGACCCTTCCTTTGCCGATGCTGCAGCTTTTCTGAGATTGGTCAAAGAAAAAGACGTTTCTCGCAAGGGCTTTTCCGGGGCAAGGGTGAAGGCATCAGAACCTAAGCTGTCTACTCAAAAGTCTCGAGTTTCTGTGTTTGGTTCTCGCGCTGCCCATGCAAACAAAGATGCCAACCCAGCGGTCCCTGCGCCGGAAGCTGCTTCAAGTAGAGGAAGTAAAAGGAAAAGAAAGGACCCCTCCATTGATCGTGAGTGTGAGACGCCGACTGCAAGCTCCAGCGCCAAAGGAGCAGGCAGCAGTTCTGATCCAGTACAAGAGGATGAGGCTTTTTTGAAAGAAACTGAGAGAAACTGGCTCCATGCTCTCAATGTAGAAGACCCTGACATCAATTTGGAAGAGGATCAGAAAGAGGACTCCACCTACACGGACGAGAAAGGTTATGTCTTCGAAGGTGATTCAAAAACCCCACTTGGCAGCATCAAGGAGCTGAGTGCGCACCTGCGGAACCATTCACTGAAGATTACTTGCTACCAGCACTCCCAGTGCAGCCTTTTTAGGAGGATCCACAAAGTACCGCCAAACGCAGACACACTTGCCAGAAAGTGGCTTCTTGAAGGAAAAAAATATGGAAAACGGTCGGACGGCAAGTTGCATGTGAAAGATGCACTTCGCTACTTTCCTTTGTAGTATCAGAATTTTTGAATTTTTGCATGTTACCTATCGGTAGTGTCGCAGTGTGCCGGGTGGAGAAAACACTTTGCGCTACTGCACTTCAAAGCGCACAACATTTTGGACTGTGAAGACTTGTGCAGTTTGTCAGTTGAGACTGTTGAGACACTTTTTCCTCTGTTCAAAGGCAGTCTTCAGTGTACAAGCTGGAAGGTTCTTTGCACACTGAATGAAACATCATTAAGTTTGCCTTCAATTTGATGCAATTGCGCGGTTATCCCGACAGGAGTGGGGTAGCTAGACTTTAGGCATCAAGGAAAGACAAAACATGAGCAAAAGATCTAATCCCATCCGCCTATAAAAAAAACACGGGCCCGTCCCCCTAATAAGGAAACCTCGATCGCATTTTTTTAAATAGGGGGTCCCTGAAATCGGGGTTGTGAAAAAGGGTCACCTGGGAAGAGCTTCAAAGCCAAAAGTCACCCAGCAACATTTTATATAAAACCGTTTATTAAACTCATATCAAAAATTAAAAACCATCCAGATCGAAGGGTCTTCTCCTTTTCCCCTACAAAAACCTTTATTGGAATAGTGATGCGTTGCGTGACCTCGGTCAAAAGTGCGTTTGCGTGACTCCGTGTCATTGGGGGAAGGAAAACCTGCTGGTGTAAACACAACGTGCCATGGTGAATAGACAGGGTGGACAGAGGTGGGCAGTTACGGTGTTTTTGGAACCTAATTTTGAAAGAAAAGTCTCCAAAGTCAGCCATGTTGGTAATTTAGTGGCGGCCTCAATATTTAGGGTCCTAAATTTCAAGAAGTGCCCTCAATTTTCTTAAAACATCAAGGAAAAACGGGAACTGAAGGAATATGACCAGGAAAATAACTAAGAATTAACAATTAAATAGCTACTTTTTACACTTTTTCTCCTCTCCCCCTGTCTCTGTGTCTCTTCCCTTAACGGGGGGAGTCCCCGGGTTCGATGCCGTGCGGGTGCGGTGGAACTTCGGGGGACCGAACGTGGCGGACCGGATCCGAGGACGCGGGGGGTGGGTACTGGATGCGTGGCGACCGATGCGTGGCGACCGCAAGACGAAGACGTGAACGTCCGAAGAGGTGAAGGGGCATCCCCCCGTTAAGGGTCGAGACACAGAGACTGGGGAGACTGACTGACTGGACTTGCTGACTGACTGACTGACTGACTGGGAGGACTGGTCATCGCAAGGTTTGATCCATTAAATCGGAACTGATGCTTCTCAAGTTCAATCAAGTTGCCATGCATTGTTGTCGCAACCCGGAAGAGGAGGAGGAATGAGGAGAGGAGAGGAGAGGAGAGGAGAGGAGAGGAGCGAAGCACGCGACGCGTTTCATGGCAATTCGGTCCCAAAGGCTGTTTAGGGGAGACTAGCCTCCATTAAACGCGCCTCCCCGTTTAGCGAGTGGCTTCCCTTAACGGGGGGAGGCCCCGTGTGCTCTCACCTGTTCGGATTCATCGACGGAGTGTGTCCCGAAGGCGGTCCCCCACGTTCGGTCCCGGTTTTGGGTCACCGGTGGCGTCTCTGGGATCGACCGGCGACCGGTGTTGACTGGACTCGACTGACTGACTTGCTTGACTGACTGACTGACTGACTGACTCTGACAGACGTTGACAACAAGCACCAACACCAGACACACCGAGATTCACGCAACGAAGTTCCTTGAGCCAGATCCATGCACAAGTTGCCGCAATCCTGAAAGGGGATGAGGAGATGAGGAGAGGAGTTGAGGCAGGAAGATGAGGAGAGGAAGAGGAGAAGCGCCGCACGCGACAGCAGAGCCGTGGCCTAGGAGCTGAAGCGATGTCGGCATGTCGGCATGTCTCCTCTCGGCACCCGCGTGAGAGGTCGAACCCTGGGTGTTGGGCGTCGGCACGTCGTCGTCCCGGAGCCCCGGGGGCCGAAGTCGCGGGTGACCTCTCCGTCCCGAGGCTCGACCGGTGTCTCTCCCCCTGTCTCTGTGTTTCGATGCCGTTCGCTCCGCCGCCGGTCAACTTTCGGGTCACCCCGTGGTCCCCCCGTTAAGGGAAGAGACACAGAGACAGGGGGAGAGGAGAAAAAGTGTAAAAAGTAGCTATTTAATTGTTAATTCTTAGTTATTTTCCTGGTCATATTCCTTCAGTTCCTGTCTTTCCTTGATGTTTTAAGAAAAATGAGGGCATTTCTTAAAATACCTTGATGATTTGATTGCTAGACCTTATTTGATCCTGTGCTGCCATGGGCGCCTGCCTGTATACAGCCTGTATTGCTCTGTGTTGGCCCTCATACAGCCCGTATACGGCCCGTATACGGCCTGTATTGCTCTGCGTTGACCTCATATAGCCCGTATACGGCCCGTATACGGCCTGTATTGCTTTGTGTTGGCCCTCATACAGCCCGTATACGGCCCGTATACGGCCTGTATTGCTCTGCGTTGACCTCATATAGCCCGTATACGGCCTGTATTGCTCTGCGTTAACCTCATACAGCCCGTATACGGCCCGTATACGGCCCGTATACGGCCTGTATTGCTCTGCGTTGACCTCATACAGCCCGTATACGGCCCGTATACGGCCTGTATTGCTCTGTGTTGGCTCTGTGGGGACTGTATGGCCTGTGGGTTTGTGTATGGTTGATGCAAGTTTGGGTTTGTTGTTTTGCTTTGTCCACAGATCCAGGCTCTGTTTGATGGAATTTGGAAATCTGTTTGGGTGGGGATAGCTCGATTGATTGATATTGTGCTGTGTTTCTTCTAGTGGCAAGATTTCCTTGCTGGGAGCAAGTGCCAGAACACAGTTTGGCTGCTTTTATTTTGGCTCTGAAAAGTTCCCACAGTGAACGTGCACGTGTTTGTGTTGACCCACTGTTTCTGCTGCCTTGTTGAAGCAGAGGGCCGCTCATGGAAAGCAGGAGTGCCTCGAGCATGTTGGCCATTCAATGGCCAGGAGCAGGAGGATCCAGAAGCAAGAGCAAAGATGATTATGTGGAAATCATCGCAATGCTTGCTCTTCCAGCCACATATGTCATTCGAGTGTGTTTCTTGGTTCGTAAGCCAGACACAAATGTTGAACGTTCCGGTGTATCCGCTTCCTAGTAGCTATAGTTGGTATGTTTCATTCATTGCTTTTTATCATCAGTTGTAATTCTAGGAAGTTGGGGCACCATAGTTGCACCTTTCAGCAATCAGGTGTCCTGTGCGGACTATGCAGTCTGGATGAGTGTCCATTTCCTGACCACGCAGATTGCCGAGCTTGGAAGGGAAGAATCCCATGGTGGCAGGGGACTCTTATGTCGCCTAGAGGTGACTACTGTCGCATTTGCTACTATGTCTTTACTCACGCTGGGTTCTGCTTCATGTTCAAAAAGATCAAGGAGTTTGTTCAAAGCCTTGAAGAGGATGATGAGAAAAGAGCAGAATTCATTGAAGCGCGGGAAAAGTACATTTCTATGAAGCTGCACAACCCGAGCTTGGTGCTGAGAAACAAACAAGACTTGTGGCCAAGACGAATTGTCTCCCTCAGCAAGAAAATGTCTACTTCGATGGCTGCTCCGAAAACATACCTTTGTGAGCTTTCATCCTACAAGAAAAAGTTTGGTGCGCCTGATCCCTCAAAGGTGATTCAGAGGAGGTTTAATGGCAAGCTAGTCACTGGCGTACTTGTCATCAAAGAAGAAGATGAAGGGATGTACGCCATCAGTCATGAGGAGGAAATGGCAGCCCAAAATCGCGGAGACATGTCAGATGTCAATCTCAGAGAAGGTCAAGACCAGGAAATGTTTGCTGCGATGGCTGGCCAGGTGTTGGCAGATTCTACGCATGACCTGTCCCCACAAATGCTTTTGCCTCCTTCTGATATCACTCCCAGGGGCATCACTCCTGGGCGCAAGAAGCAAAAGGTTCTTTGTGATCAAGAAAAAGGCGGAGAAAGTGATGCAGCATCCGATTCAGGATCTGATGCGCCAGCGCCCACAGATTTCCTACGAAGCTTCCAATCAAGTGGGAAACCAGCTACACAGAGCTCATTGAAGCCTCAGAATTTCAACTTTCTGGAGGCGCGACGGAGTTCTCCGTCTAAGCCCAGTCCGCCTGCTCCTTGTGAGACATCGGCAGCCATGCCCAGCAAGCTCAATACTTCAGAGCCTCTGCCGGAGGAAGAAGATGAGAAGGACAAGGAATGCCGGCCCCGCAAAAGACAGATGGAGGAGCGCCAAGAGGAGGAGATGCCTGAGCCTCAGCCAAAGAAAGCATCAAAAGGCAGAGAGAACTTCAAGAATCCAAAGCAAACAACGCAGCTACCTGCACCAGAGATCATGGATTCAGATCTTGTCCTTTCACCAGAAGCTGTGAAGCAGTTTCCGAGTGAAGATGATGCAGAAGAGAAAGCCAAGGAAGCAAAGCCAAAGAGTGGGGGGAGAAAATCCCAAAAACATATCCAAGCAGAAGATATGGCTTTCCTTTGGTCACGCCAAGCGGAGCTCAAGATGGCTTTGGTGACACTGCCTGAGATTGAGGGGGAGGATGGCATTCCACAGTTTTGTCAGGATCTGAACACTTCTTTGTCATCGCTCCAGGCAACTATTTCCAAGAAGGTCACAAGTACCAAGAGGCGCAAAACAAGCAAGTCTCCCGAAGAACCTGCAGCCCTCAGCCCTGAGATGCAGCAAGTGGTTGAGACAGCCAAAGCCTTTCAATGCCTTTGCTCACATTTGGGAATGCCAAAGACCAATGCTGATGATGTGAAAGACATCTACCTTCTTTTGACGGACAAAGGTTGGACCTTCCCAACTGTCATCGTTCTCAAGGTTTGCCGCTTGAAGCTTTGGGAGGAGATGAAATTCAACAAGTATGCCAAGGTTGCTGCCTGCTTCAAGATGTCGCATGCTCTTGCAGGAATCATGCAGAAGGCAGATGAAGCTCTTGGGGAACCAGGCTATGTGTCAGGCCAGCTGCTTGAGGGTCTTGTCAGCAAACTGGCTGCTATGGTGCCATCCAAAGGCTCAGCCCGGGCAGTTTTGGAGTCGGTGCATGCCATCAACCTTGCCAACCTCGTTGCGGCCTTCGCTTCTTGCCGGTCAGAGTGCTACTTCTCTGACCAAATCAAAGATCAACTGCAGAATCTTTGGTCTTTCTTTTCCTTTTTGAGCACGGCAGAGGGGGAGGAGAGCAGGAAGAGCTTGGTAACCTCTGCTGATGATGCCCTGAATGCGGTCGCTCTAGTCCTCGATTGCAACGCAACAGAGCACCTTCTTTTCAGCTCATTGAAGCAGGCTGCAGGCGTGGTTGCATTGCTTTCTCACATAAAGGGCATCATCAAGAGAAGGGCCAAAAAGGGAGATAACCCTGTGATTCTGCTTGAGCTAAAAGCCGAACTGGACCGTCAGTTTGATGCCATGACAGCATCCAAGCTTAAGCAGTCTGATCTTGCCGGTGCCAATGCTTTCAACTCGTGCGATGAGATCGCCCAGTGCTGGAAGACACTCTATGACAGGATCCAAGAAGCCTCGCAAGACCTGCCAGATCACGCAGCAAAGCTTTCTGAGATGCAGAAGGAATGGAAGGACCGCACTTTGCAGTTACTGAGGCTGCACATCACTTTCGATCTTGCACCGTTTCTTGGCCAGCTTGCGGAGGATATTGCTTCGAACAAACCCGGTCAAACCCCGCCCAAGTGGCATGTGGCTTCACTCCGGGGTTTGCTAGATGTTCTGCATTGTGCTTTTCTCACACACGACTTCATCGGTATGATCAGCCTCAAAATGGTTGCGCTAACGCGTGGGAATGCCCTCTCAGATGGAGAGTCTGCTCAAATCTTGAAGCAGTGGGAGGACTTGCAAGAGCGCTTGTGCAAAGAGAGTCTGCCGGACATAGACTTGTGCCCAAAGCAAGTGGGTGCTTTTGGGCAAGCTTTGAGGGTGAGGATTAGATCTGATGTGGTGGCAAAGGCCGGCCAAGTGCAGAAGGACCTGCAGCTGCAACTCTTGAACATTGTGGGGGAAGAGATTGTGCCTGAGGAAGCGTGGGATGTCTCAAGATGCGACCAACTCCTTTGTTTGGCCACTGGTTTTCCAGCAGAGCTACGTGCCCGAGCTGAGGAGGTCCAGGAATTTGCGCAGGTGACCAAAACCTTCATTCAACTGAGTGACAAGGTCACGGCATTCGATGAAGCTATCCAGAAAATGAAGGTGGAGGAGAAGGTCCCCAACACAGTGATCAAAGCATTGCAAGACTTGAACTTTGGTTTTTACTACAGTACTGATTTGTTTAATTTATTTGTTCAGGTACGGAAGGTCCCCCGAATAGGGGACCCGCAAAGATGGAAACCTGGGAAGAGCTTCAAAACCAAAAAGTCACCTAGGAAATTTTTGTATAAAATCCTTTATTAAACTCGTATCAGAAATTAAAAAAACCTCCAGATCGAAGGTCTCTCCTCTCCTTTCCCTGTACAAAAGCCCTTCATGAACATATGTTTCGATAAACATTATAGCTATAAGTTATATTGTAGATATATATATATATATATTATTAGTATATGAATACAAATGGTATGTATATTTCGAGTTTCGGACCACTCATTTTTAGGAGGTTCCTTTGGTTTGTTGGTTTACTGGGGCCGCAAAACGGGGCAAGCAAGGAAGATATGCAAATCCATGTGGCATTCTGTCTTCAAAGGCAAGATGGACAAGATTCCGGGCATCCTTTTGGGGGAGCAAGGGGGTGCAGAGCATAAGCAGGCAGTCACTGAAGGGTTGAAGCAAATTGAGACCTGGTTGGAGAAGAAGTGGGATGAAGACTTGTCAGAGAAGCTGGCAACCTTTGTAAATCCAGACAGCGAGGCTTTGCGTACTATTTGCTCTCAGATGCCTGACTATGGCTCAGTCAGTTTGAAGGATTTTTCCAAGGCTGTCAAGAATGGACAGGTGGGGGAAAAAGCGGCAAAGCTGAAGAGGAAGGTGGAAGCTTGTCTTCAGTGGGGCCACCATGGTGGGCTAGATGTGAAGTTTTGCAAGGCAGCCTCAGCAATTGCCAACCAAGCCTTGGCTTTGGTTTCTACTTCCACCGTCGGGCTTCTTGTTGAGAACAAGCTTTGGGCAGAGATGACCCCTGCTCTTGCCTCAACGAAAGGGTTCCTCGCAACGTCATAAACGAACCTTTTATATTAGCTTTTTTGTCAATAGTGAAGGACTTATACTAGTGTTTGGGTTGCATTGTACTCTGGCCGGTCAGGTCGAAACATGCAGCGCTCCACAAGCAGTTGGTTGACACCTGCAGCTTCATCCAGAACACCGGCTTGGAAATCCCTGCTCGTCTTCAAGCCGAAATGACAGATCGAATTCAATCTGGACGAACGTCCACGAAATGATCTTGAAGTTTAGCATCTGGTTCACAGAGCCTACCAAGGCCAAAGTAGACAGTCAGGGGAACTGCTGCCTCCGTAGCTTTTATTTGTGGTTCATGCTTTTGACAACTCTTTTTGTTCTGCTTGGGAAGTGGCTGGATCTGGCCTTGAATCGGCAGTTCACCTCCTGACTCCAGACCCTGAAATGCTGTTTGGCAATGCTGACAACTGACAATGGGATTGCATTGCCTAGGACAGCCCACCAGCGATTGGTGTTAACAGCTGCAGCAAGGTTGAATTTGAAAACATGCAAATGCAAATTGTATTGTGCTGGAGTCTGTAGGGATGTATGACGCACTGTATGTCATCTCTTGTTCTGGTCGTCTAGTCTATAGTGTATAGTCAGAGAGGCTCAGCTGTTGCTCCATTCTTGCAGTGCACGCAAACGGACCCCTCAGTCTAAGCAGGACGGTGGAGCACAGTAGGTTCGGCAGTGCAATATTGCTAGCCAACCACTGTCTACCTTGTTTGTGGTGTCCGAGCAAAAGGATGCTTTTTGCTTCGAATCGGAAGTGGAGGGAGTCGTTGGTCACCTGGTCGCTAGTCAGGTTTTCTTGAAATTGAAATTGTATGAGTAGAGTCAAGGGTTTGGTTTTACTGTTGATTTCAGGTGATTTCAGCAAGGACATTGCTTGTTGTTTTTGGCCCAAGTATCGGGTTTTTGATTCGATCTCATCATCACATCAAGCTCCAAGCTCAGCTGCTGAGCCGTGTTCATAGTCTCACAAAATGCCGCCTAGAAAGCGGAAAGATGCTCCAACATCATCTCCGGGCGCCAAGAAGAAATGTACAGCAGCAAAGGCAAGCGCTCAGCAAGCAAAAGCAAAGCAAAAAAGCAGTGCAAAGCCTAATGCAAGCAAACAAGCCGAGCCTCAGCAGCACAAGCAAGATCCTGAAGCAAAGAAACGCAAACTCTCAGGCAAGCAAAGCACACTGCACTTTTTGGCTGCACAAGAGGGAGCGGACAAGACACCCCTCACAGAATCTGAGGTCATGGACAAAGAAGAAAAGGAGTTCTGGACTTCATTGTTTGAGCCACAGCACCAACATGCTGATCAGGGCATTGCTTCTGCACCAATCGGGCAGGAAGCAAAGAGCGACAAGCACGATGAGCCAAGCACAGAAGCTGACAAGCAGATTGACAATGCTTTCAAACCAGCATCCACAAATGGTGAGGGACCTTCAGAACCCCAGCAGGACCAGCCACCAGTGGCAGAAGCGTGCGATACTGCTTTGAGCCCGGCTTCCACAGATGGTCAGGAAGCACAAGCCAAAGCAAATGGTGCAACCTTTGCCGCAGAACCGCCAGCAGTACC